AGAGGTTGTGTTAGTTAAAGTGATGACTCCTTAGATTCTGGAAAAGGAAAGTATCCCAAGCAAGGTGAATAAAAAGTCTGTCTGTCTACCTAGATACAGCATGGTGAAACTATGAAACACCAAGAAACAAGATACAGGTCATATATGCTTCTAGAGAGAAATGACAGCATACTTATAAGGAATGACAAATTTCACTACAGCCAGCAGAAGCCAGAGGAGGATGAAATGATATCTACAGAGCACAGAAAGTTTATCATAACTTAATTACCTCATGGAGGTGGCTTTATTAAATCCTCTTATTGTATAAGCATAATTTTGACAGTAATTTATACAAGAATTCTATATACATTACATGTTCTATTTGTTCTGAAGGCTTTTAAAAATGTATGTCAAGCAGAATGATGGCTTCCCCAAAGATGTCCATGTCTCCTTGCCTGGAATCTCTGATTATGTTACCTTACAGGGTTAAAGATACAGTTAAATTAAGGATGACAAGATGGGGAGATTATCCTGGATTATCTAATGTGTTAGTCAGCTGTTCATCACTATAACAAATACCTGAGACAATCAGTTTATAAAGAAGATTTTATTTTGCCTTGCTGTTTTGAAGGTTTCATTTCATGAAGCCCAGATGCTTTTGCCTGTGTTGGCACAGCATATCTGGGCAGGGGTCATGGCAGTTGGAAAGTGAAAGGGAGAAGGAAGGGCCTTTGATCCTATTATCTTCTTTGAGGATATACCCACAATGACCTAAGACTGTGCTCCACCTCTTCAAGTTTCCATCCTTCTTTCCTTCCTTCCTTCCTTTCTTTCTTACTCTCTTTCTTTCTTTCTTTCTTTCTTTTCCTTCCTTCCTTCCTTCCTTCCTTCCTTCCTTCCTCCCTTCCTCCTTTCTCCCTTTTCTCCCTTCTTTCTCCCTTTCTCTCTTTCTTTCTTTTTTTTTTGGCGGGGGATTGAACTCAGGACCTTGTGCTTGCAAGGCAGGTGCAGCACCACTTGAGCTAAATCCCCAGTCCTCCACTATTTCTTTTTGTACTGGGATTGAACACTGAGCTTTTGCACTGAACTACATACTCAGCCCTTTTACATTTTTTTTTTATTTTTGAGACAGGGTCTTGCTAAGTCGCTAAGCTGCCCAGGCTGGGCTCGAACTCATGATCTTCCTGCCTCAACTTCTCAGAGTGCCGGGATTACAGGCATGCACCACCACACCTGGCTAGTTTCCACAGTTCTCAATAGTACCAAACTAGACACTAAGCCTTTAACACATGGGGCTTTGGGGCACACTTGAGACCTAAACTGTAGCATCCAGGTTGGCTCAGTATGTAATTACAGAAGCCCTTATATGGAAAAGGAGGAGGCAGGAGATGGAGGAGCCCTAAGCTATGGAACGCAGCGAGCTTCTGGAAGCTGGAAAGACAAAGAACAAACTCTTCCTGTCAGCCACTAGAAAGAGCTCACCCTGCCCATCAGATGTTAGCCTAGTGGAGATTTTGATCTCCAGAACTGTAACATGGTACATGTGCATGTGTATGCCACAAAACAAGTTTCTGGTAATTTGTTCAGTAGCCGTAGAAAATTAATACAACAGCTTTATTCAAATGTAATTTCCATACCATACAGATAATTCATTTTAAAGTATGCAAGTTAGTGTTTTTATTATATTTACAAAGTTATATAACTAAATGTTTTTGGAAGATGAGTCAGAAGTGTTCTATGAAATGAAAACTAAGCGCTCTTCGGGTCAGGGAGAGCTCTGTGCAGGGTGCTGATACCGCTAACCAGTGCAGTCTTTGTCCGCAGAGCTTTGTGGCCCACACCTAATGTCTGCTCACAGGACTGCTGCAGATAGTCAGCTTTGCCTTTTCTTTCTATCTTCGTGGGGGAGCCTTTTCTTGTGACCTTTTTTGTTGTGTTTCCCTCAATAGTATTTCAAATATGTATTTACTGGATTTACCTCAAACTGGTTCTTCCTTGATTTTTAACTGTTAAACATATAAGTCTCTAAATTTGAAATCTGTTGCAAAGATGCTGCAGAGCCTGTCCAGCTTAAATAAACAACCTGATAAATGGATAAGAAATATATTTTTTGTGCATTTTTTTCATGAACTGGCTTTATAACCCTCTGCTTCAAGAAATCTGTTCTATATGAAAAAATAGCTCCACATTGGGGTGGTGGTCAGGGATACTCAGTAGGACTACTGTGAGTTGTTTTGTGTGTGCTGACATCTGAGGAGCACTTCTGGTCCTTCTGATCATCTAAAATAAGCCATTTTCTGGCCTGTTTTATTTTTTGTGGTGCTGGAGGTTGAACACAGGGCCTCACACGTGCTAGACACGTATTCTACTACTGAGCTACATTCCCCTTATCCCATTTTAACATTTTAAAGTGTACGTGTATATAGATATAGACTCCTATCTATATATCCTACACACACACACACACACACACACACACACACACACACACATCTTAGTTGATATACTACAGATCTTCCAAATGACTTATATGAGGAATATCTAATGCTTTCTCTCCCTCCTAAAAAATTCCAGTCCACATCACCTGCCTCCCAAGCACAAGGTCCTGAGTTCAATCCCCGGTACCAAAAAAAAAAAAAATTCAAGTCCAAGCCCCATTGACCTACCTTGTCTTTGCCCTTAGGCAGGAGACACTTTGCCTGGTCAGTGGGGGACTCATGATCTTTTCCGCAGATTGTTTTTGCTTAAGATAATGGAAACTCATTCATACTTTGGCATGTCCCCTTTTCAGTAATGACAGTGACCCCTGTTATACTGAAAAGCAAACACAAATGCACAACAGTAAGGTAGAGAAGAAACTAAAACCAAAAGGAAGAGCATCTTTGGCTGTGCCATGGCGGTCTGCAGAGCCTAAGTGGCCTCACAGACCAGCACCTTCAGACACGTTGGTCTAAGCTATGACAGGAGACAAGCAAGGCCATTTCATAAATCTAAGCATGGGCAAAGAACAAGGTCACTGTGTGACTTATAAATACTAAACACCCCTTTCTGGGTTCCAGCTTTGTCTTGTCTAGCCTCCCTTCCATCTGGAGAAGATTTAGTGAGATACTCAATATTCCAGTTGCCCTTACTTTCTGACAGTATCTCAAGCAGTGAACCTCACTTCTTCTGGTCTCTTGTTGATTTCTCTGCGAGCCCATGTCTGGTGACAGGTCCTCTCTGGCACCCTCTTCCTGAGAAGCCTTGCTGAGAGACCTGTGCACATCTGCCTGACTCTGTAGATCCAGTGTCTTCTCCTGGTTTTTGGCTGAAGGACATACACAGTTTTAAGAAAAACCATCACAGGAAGCTAAGCATTAAATGGCCTCACTCTTATGAAACAATTGTTGTCATAGAAGTCAACAGAATGGCAGTCACGAGAGTCTGGGGAGAGCGGGAGGCGAGAAGAGAGGCTGGTCAGCAGGTAGTGAGTTGTACTTAGAAACAAGAAGATCTGGAGTGCTAGTGCATAGCAGCGTGAATACAGATAACATATTGTATATATTTTTTAAAGCTAGAGGGATTTTGAATGTTTTCACTGAAAAGAAATGATAATTGTTAGAGAAGATATATTTATGCTGATTTGAACATTTCATATTGTATACATGTACCAAAACATCACATGATACCCCATAAATATGTATAATTTTATCTATTAGTAAAAAAAAAATGTGATGTGAAATGATGTAAAAACTACTTGGCTTACTGATAAAAAATCCACTGAATATTTTGGAAGGCACAGCTGTTGTTCCTTAGGTAACTGTGTATGTTTGTGTACAGATTCTGCCTGATTTATTTAGTGCTTCTTGAATTAAAAGCAGAATTGGCTACATAATTTGTGTCTCAGTGCAAATTCCAATGTGGGACTCCTTATTCAAACTTTATTGAGAACTTTAAGATGGTGACAGCAAAATATTAATCCAGCTGGGCCATCTGAGCACAGGCTGTGGGTGACTGCATTAGTCACATACCAGGAAATTGGCGCTGATTATGAGACGCCCTCTGTCAACTCTTCCATTCTAGGGGACTGACCCAGGGATGAGGACGAGGAACCAGTGTTTTCTGGTCCTCTTAGCCCTACCCAATGGGCCTTGTTTTATCCTTTATTTTTTTTTACAAATTTAAACAGTTTTAAATTGTAGTAAAGTACATATAACAAAATTTATAATCTCAACAATTTTTAAGTGCACAGTTGAGTGGCATTAAGTACATTCACATTGCTGTGTAGACTTTACCACTGTCCATCTTTAGAATTTTTGGTCTTTTCAAACTGAACTTCTGTACTCATTAAACACTAACTCTCATTTCCCCAAACCCTCTGGCCCGGGAAACCATTATCCTACTTTATTTCTCCATGAATTGGACTACTCTCCATGCTTTTTATATATGTAAAATCATACAGTATTTGTCCCTTTGTGTCTGACCCTTTCACTCAGCATAACATCCTCAAGGTTCATCCACACTGTGGCATGTGTCAGAACTTCCTTCCTTTTTAAGGCTGAATAATATCCCATTGTGAATATATACAACATTTCGGTTGTTTTCTTTTATTTTGACTGTCCATAGACTCTTACAGTGCTCCTACTCTTGACTGTTGTTAGTTGTGCCGCTGTGAACATAGGTGCACCAGCGTCTTTTTAAGACTCTGCTTTTGGTTCTTTTGGGTCCATACCTGAAGTAGAGTTTCTGGATCATGGGGTAATTCTATTTTTAACTCTTTGAGGAAACTCCATAGTTTTCCATAGAGGCTGCATCACTTACAACTGCACCAACAGTGCACAAGGGTTCCAGTTTCTCTACATCCTCACAATGCTTGGTATTTTCTGGGGTTTTTTGGTTTTGTTTTTAATAGTATCCTAATGGGTGAGGTGGTATCTCACTGTGATTTTGATTTGCATTTCCTTGATAAGTAGTCACATTGAGCTCTTCTTCTAAATTTATTTTTGATTACTGACAACGACTACTCTATTTCTCTTTCCAAGAAAGGAGATGAAGTTGCTGGAGCAGTCCGGTTCCCTGAAAGGCACCCTGAGTGTGGGACAGCAGTTGTCACTCATCAGCGGTTGCTCCAACATTGCAGAAGCAGTAGAGGGAGCCATGCACATTCAGGTGAGCGAGGACATTGGCACCCATTCTGTGGGGCTGAAATTGCTTCTGTCCTATCTGGAAGGACCTGGCAAGATAAAAGGGAGAAGGTGGTGTGGACTTTGTGAGCCCTCAAAGTCAGAATTTTGTTTTGTGTGACAGGAAGCAGGGTCCTCAAAACATTCCTCATAGAGGTTCTCAGCAAACTACTATGATAAGGTTATATCTTAGAGGTGTTATAATTTTGAGCAGAATTAGATATTTTGGACTGATGATACTATTTTATTTTGTTTTATCAACTTCAGAAATGAAAGATTATATTCTTGTTCTCCCATATAATTAGATGAAAGCTTAAAAAAATCTAAAAGCAAACCTTTCATTTGTGTTTAGCCTTTTCAACAATTTTGCTTAAATAAAGAGGAATCCTCATAAGAACTGTTACCTGGGCTGCAGGGGAAGCTGGGATAGCTCTGGGGGCTGGGTTGGAGCTTGGTGACCCTCCCAGGAATCTATCCTGCAGATCCTATGCCCATAGATGTCCCTGTCCTGTCTTAAGAACCCAAGATATAACATTGTCTTCTGGAAGGGTACAATCACTGCTATAGGGTTTAAGTAAATTTACCTAAAGCTCAGAGTCATTATTTCCAGTATCCTTCCTTGATATTTTATATTCTGAGAGTCGTACATTTCATGTTGTTCTTAGGATAATATTCTAACTGAGAATTCAGGAGCAAACCAAAAAGGCTCTGCATGTTTTATGGTCAGCTGCTGTTCTGTGATTGAGGTCAAAATAGAGGAGATAGAGGTTCTAGATCTTTGTGGCTCTAAAGTTTCTCTAGCCTCTTTAAGAAATATGAATAAGATATGGTCAAGATAGAACATAAGGCAAGGACTGTGTTTTAATTCCTTTTGTCTTTCTAGTACACAGCAGTAACCCTTATCTGTATTGACCTACAGTCAATGCAGTCCAAAAGTATTATATGTTTTGACTCTTTCAAGAAAGAGACCACATTTGTATAACTTTTACAATAATATATTGTTATAGTTGTTTTATTACTTATCATTATAAATCTTTTACTGTTTCTAATTTATAAATTAAACTTTATCATGAAAATGTGGTATGTGTAGGGTAGGTACTACCTCCAGTGTCAAGCCTATCCTGGAGGTTTAGGACACGTCCCCTGTGGATAAAGGGCTAGCGTCCTGTCTTTCCACTTGGTGAAGGCAGCATGAGACTGTAGGCCCCTACAGGGGATTGGAGGGCTCCGTAATGTGACCTTTCAGATGCGCCCATTCCCACATCACTGAAGTCGTGGTTGTGGCTTTCTGGAGAGCACAGGATCTGTCCAGGTCTGGTCTGGGCAGAGAAGCATCTTCACATGGGTTTAGCTTTTAAGGCAAGTGTACTCTTCTTACATCAGGCCACCAGGGGCAGTGGCAAAGGCAAATGGGCATCCCTTCCCCTGGAGCACGTGTTCAGACCCGCTCTCACATCAGGTGGGCTTGGGGCACTTTGCGTTTAGCACCTGTGGGGCTTTGACAAGCTTCGTACCTGGTAAGACTCCACCTCCTGATCTGTAAAATGAACTGATAGCTGCAGCCGTGGGATTTCCATCAGGGCTCATATCTAAGGTGACTCTCTTGGAAGAAGCCTCCATTTTTCCAATTTTTTTTTTCCACTACTGGGGATCAAACTCGTGACCTTGCACTTGCCAGGCAGGAGCGGTGCCACTGAGCTAGGATTTTTATAAGCTCTATTAATGGTTAATTGGATACAGCCACCCTCCAGTACCCAGGATACTAAATCAGATGCTCAGGACCCTTACGTAAAATAGTGTAGTATTTACATAGATCCTATGCGCATTCTCTTTGAATAATCTCTAGGTGAATTATAATACCTAATCCAGTGTAAATAATTGTTAGTACTGTATTGTTTAGGGAATAATGACAAGAAAAATTGTCTATACATGTTCAGTACAGAGTCAATTTTTTCCCTGAATATTTTCCATCCATGGTTAGTTGAATCTGTGGGTACAGAACCACAACATGAGGGGCTGACTGCATATATTGAAATGATAGAAGTGGAATATATGTATATATATGTCTTGTTTAGTTATGGAGTGTGGTCTGAAATACAAATATGTCATGAATTACTGTAATATTCACAGGATACTTTGGTTCAGACTCTAGTCTGGCCTCTTTAACTCATTAGAGTAGTTTCTTGAGTCTCTCTGAGAGAGGGACCCCCTCCCCCATTTTAAAAGGCCTTCAGAAGTCATGACTACAGCTACTCTGTAAGTTCACAAGAGCATAATGGTTTTGGAAAGCCCTGCCTAAACTTCCTGCCTACCCCAACCACAGTCTCTGCTTGTATAACCTTGCCTGCTATTTTCCCCTCCAATAAGAGGAAAGCCCCATAGAAACATAGACGCATAAAAATGAAGCTAAACTTCTGTTCATTGCTCTTGAGGCAATATAAATCCCTGTTGAGCCGCCAGCAGTAAAGCTGCTTTTGCTCCTGCTTTGTGTCTCATGGCTCTGGCTGGGTATCCCACCTTTTCACCTGCTTCATAACCAGTTTCTCAGAGCAAAAAGTCTTTACTTCCTCAGAGATACTCAGTACATGGGGTTTTTTAATCCATCAGTGATGTTGGCGTTGGGAATTTTATCCATATTCTTAATTACGAACGCTCAAATATGTAGGTATATTTTTCCTTCGGTAATAGGATACCTGTGGTTCCAAAACATGACAGTTTGCTGTGCTGATGACTTTTTTTAAAAGTCATTTTTATAAAGCTTATTTACAAATTTTCTATCACTAGCAGGTGTGAAGTCATGCCCCAGGAATAATGAAAATATCTGTGTTAGTTTTTTTTTTTCTTTTGAGACAAGATCTTGCTAGGTGGCCTGGGCTGGTCTTGATCTCTGGGCCTCAAGTGACCCTTTTCCTGCAGCCTCCAGATGCTGAGACCAGAGGCATATACCACTATGCCCAGGTTATGTTAAATTTCTTTGCCCTTCCTATTTTTAAAAAATAGATTATCAAATGATTTCTGTAAACATCTAAATTAGCATGATTGAATTAGTTTAGGTTAATGTGTCTTCCTCAAATAGTATATTGTTTTTCAAAAAATGGAAAACCTTCCATAATGAGAGAACATCAAAATGTCTTGAATATAAGGTGAATCTTTCTTTTAAGGGATAATTTTAGAGGGGAATATGCTACTTTATAAGGTTTTGAAAGTGTTTAGCACAGTACTTGGCACATAAATGGTCATTATTTTATGATATGGCCTTTTGTGTAGAGTTTTGGTAATGAACAAATGTTTTAATAATGAACAAAATAATGGTGTTTCATGCACAGTAGGGGCTGAAAACTGTTTAAGACCTGTCTCTGTTTCATAGGTTAAGTGAATGTGCTTACATATTGAGCTTCCATCTGTTATGCAGAACAGCACTGAGCCAGGTAGTGAGAGAGGAAAGAAGAGAAGGAGGGTGCAAATTCTACTAGGTTAGTGCCTATAAAAAATTGTGCTCTACAGAAATTGCTCTCTACTACCATAGAGAAGAATGGGGACAGAGGAGCAGTTCTGACCCACAAGATTGGTAAGGTTTAATAAGTGTAGGATTAGAGCTTGCCTTGGCCTTTGGCTGGTAGATTTGGGGGAGTGGAAGAGTGACAGATGTGGGCACTATGTCTCAGATGTGAACAGGGATGATGAGGGACCTGTGCATGTGTTCTACGTACCTTAAGAAGATCAGCGAGGTTAAGGGTCAAGCCCACTAGATGGAGGAAAAAGACTGTAGCTAAAGGGGGAAGCTAGTTCAAGATGCTTTGAATGGCAACCCAAAGGGCTACATAAATAAAATGAATTAATATTTACAAAGTGTTTAGAGTAATACATGACACATAGAAGCACTATTGAAGTGTTTCCTAAAAGAAATTGTTCAGCTATCAACCTGTATCCTGATTAGAATCCTCCAAGGAAGGAGTTCAGCCATGAGCAGTGTTGCTCTGCAGCCTTGGTAGTATCAGTGTGGGCTTAGCCCATATTTTTTTGAGACAGGGTCTCACTGTGTAGTTCAGACTGGCCCTAAACTCACTGTATAGCCCAGGCTGGCCTCGAACTTGACCTCCTGCCTCATCCTGCTGAGTGCTGGGATTACAGGTGTGCACCACCACGCCCAGCTCAGGTTTACGCATTCTACTGTGTATGTAAAAATGTGTCTTCTGGGCTTGGTGGCACTTGCTTGAATTTGGGGAGATAAGGTAGGAGGAGGCAAGTTCAAGTCCAACCTAGGCAGCTTATCAACTCAGCAAGACCCCGTCTCAAAAGAAAATGTAGTTAAGGGCTAGGGATAGCTCAGTAAGAAAACCCTAGGGTTCAATTCTTAGTATCATAGAATTGTTTAAAAAAGTTGTTTTTCCCATTTCTGAGTTTTGAGAGTGCTTTATATATTATGGATAAAAATCTATACTAGATACGCATTTGAAACATTTTCTCTCAGTATTTTTATGATGAGATTTTGCATCTGATCTGATCTTTGAAAAACAACAATTTAAACGTTTTTTTTCTTTTTTTTTCTGTACCGAGGTTTGAACTCAGGACCTTGTGCTTGCAAGGCATATGCGTTACCGCTGAGCTAAATTCCTGGCCAGCTCAGTGTCACAGCCAAGTGCCACAGCTCTGGGTCAGGTCTATCACAATTTGAAGACTCGAAAATCTGATGGTCACTTGAAGGGGTGTAGAACCTTTATTATGCCAGAGGGCTCAGAGGATTTCCTACTCTGAAGGCTGAGCAGCTCACCAGAAATGAAAGCCTCCTTATATAGGGATCTACAGGGTAGGTGAGCATGCTCACTGAAGTAGAGGGGTGGAGTTACAGAACATTCCTGAAAGGCATAGTGGGTGAGCATGCTCACAGAAGCAAGGAGGCGGGGTTACAGAACATTACTGAAAGGGGCAGAGCTGACGGAACATTCCTGAGAGGGGTGGAGCTAACAGAACATTTCTAAGAGGGGC